AGCCTTTCCCCCTTTTTCTCCTAGCTCTGGATTCCTACTTAAAACTCTGCCCCCTTTGGGCAGGCCCTACTCTCCAGCTCTGCTTCTTTTCACTGCTCTCCTGGAGCCCACACCCAACCTCATCCTGACTATCTCTCAGGACAGTTCCAGTTCCTCCGGCCCAGCGTCCCTTTTCCCCAAGGCCCCTCCCTCCTCCTACCTGAGTCGGGATAGTCTGCCCTGCCCAGCCTGGCAGATGGTGCCTCCTGTCAGGAACCTGGCATCACTGTGCCCCCTCCCCAAGAGGGGCCAAGGGCCCATCAGGTGATGCTAATGAGCAGAGACAGGCTGAGGAGGGGGCAGAGAGTTACCATCTGGGCCACTGGTAAGCTCTCCCCTATCCATCCCTACTGTTTGGGCTTGGGACAGGGTCCCATCCTTCCTCTTTGTCTCTCAGCCTCACCAACCACCCCAGGGCTTGAGTCCTTTATCCCAGGACAATCCCTCTTCAAGGCTTTTCGCAGCTACAACCAGGCAGCCACACTGTCCACTAAGCCCTAGGAAGGGTCACTCCGTTCCCAGGCCCCACGTTTCTTTCCCATTCTCCTCCAGTTTGGATACTTTTTCAGAGTTTAACCCTGCCTTCTGCCCCTCGTTGCCCCAGCCCTTGCTGCTGCTCAGAGCCACAGCCACGCAGCCCCGCCATCTGCACGACCCAGTAGAAAACCCTGCCCGCTCGGCGGTCCCCGGGGGTGTTCTCCAGCCTTTGTTTTTCCCCACATTTAGTCCACCGCCTCAACACCCCCCCCCAATCGTGCCACGCCTTCGCTGGTGGACTCTCACCCACGTAGGAATGCCCTCTGCCCGCCCTCATCCGCCCTTCCCCGACTGTGCGCCTCTCCCTCGGTCCCCAGCGAGCCCACGAGTCCATCTTCCTTACACCCCGCAGCTCCAGAACCAGGAGTCGGTGCGCGCGCTGCTGAAGCGCACCGAGGCGGAGCTGAGCATGCGCGTGTCGGAGGCGGCCCGGCGGCAGGAGGACCCACTGCAGCGGCAGCGCACCCTGGTGGAGGAGGAGCGGCTGCGCTACCTCAACGACGAGGAGCTCATCACCCAGCAGCTCAAGTGAGACTGGGCCTGGCCGCGGAGGGAGGGTGGGCAGGCGGGGGCTGGGGCAATGGGGCGGGGGGGGGCGGGGGGGACTGACCTGGGTGACCCCACAACCTGGTTTCCTTCGGAACCCCAGGTGACGTTGGCCTGTTCCGAAGCCCAATTTCATCCTGCTCTGTGACCTGTTTTTCTCAGTGACCCACAAACCTTTGACCATCTGGCATAAGTCCTGATTTCTTTCTTCTTTTTTTCTGGCTTGGTCCCTGCTTTTACTATGGTCTTGCTTCCCTGTGGACTGCAGCTTCACTCTCCTGTGGCCAGTTGCCCGGTTTCCCCCTGCCCTCTGCTTTATTCTCCTTCTGGCCTGTGTTCTGTGTACCCAAGTGGAATGCTAGGGTGTAGTGACCCCCCCCCCCAGCCTGATGCTGACTGCCCAGCCACCGTTGCTACTGCTTTCCCTTCTCTGCTGAGATCAGATATAACCAAGGAAAACCCTCCTCCCTCCATAGCACAGCTGAAGGTGGGTTCTAGAGTTCTCAGAGGAAGGGTAGAGATCACCCCATCCCAAAGGCTCAGATGTGGAAGGGTTGACAGAAGACAGTCTGTGGTGCAAATTTAGCAAAAGGCTGCTTGGCCACAAATCAATTGTCTAGTACCTCTGAAGGGAGAATTTGTTCTTCACTGTCCATTCAGGAACTAAGCAGCCGCACTCCACTAAGCTCTCTCTTCTCAGACCTAGACTCTGCTGCTTCCTTTGTAATTCCCCCCCTCCCCTCCCCACACCCGCCATAACAGACCACTAGGAGGCCTGGGATCCAGCGCTAGCACCAAGGGGTTGTGAAATCAGGGCTGTTCCTATCTGCCTCTGGGCCTCAATATTCTTGCAAATCTTTCCGGAGAGAGGTTAGGTTGTATTAAGGGGTAGTCAGGGCTGGCTAGAGACACAGGAAGTCAGTAGAGTTGCTCACAGGAGTTAGATTTTCTTTACTAAGTCATATCTGGAGCCATTGCCTTGAGAAGGAGCCTGGGGCCCACACAGCCTCGTGGTCCTTACACCTGTCAGATGTACAAAGCAAGGAGTCCCATGACACCACGAGGCTGAGATGGAGTAAGGGACCATCTTTGGCATGGAAATAATCCAGAAGTAGCCACGCTCAATGCTTGAGGTGTGGTAACTTAGTGACAGCTGCAGCCAGATCTCCAAGTAGACCAGCAGCTTCCTCCATCCGCTCTATCCCCCCGGGGAATTCCATTTATCCATCTTCTTTGTCCTTTCCTTGTCCTTTCCATTCCACACAGAGAAGCTGGTCAGAATTTTCAAAAGGAACTTTACTGAGACATTAAAGGGAAATTCAAAGAAATCTCAAAGCACAGAAGTGGAAAAGATAAAAGGCAGATTTATATTCTGGTTATTATGAGTGTCTGGTCCCTGGCTTCCTGGGGGTCTTAGTTCTGTAGGAATATAGAAGCTTCTCATCCTCATCTTTTATCAAGCCCATTACTCAGACTGCTCACTTGAGGGAGCCAAGGACCCAAATGACTACTTCTAGCAGGATTATCCATCCTGGAATGGACTTCTTTCTCTTTTTCAAGGATAGGGCTGGCTGGCCTTGAAAGGCCTCTCTGCCTAGCTCCCATAGCCTCCCTAAGCATGAGCTCTACACCTGTGCTGACCCCTGTTCCGGCTGCAAGCCCCTACCTACCTGCTCTAGCTTTATTTTGTGGTGCCCCTTGCTCTTTCCTGGCATCTTGCTGACAATCTTTCCACTTGACTCACTCAACTGTCCGTCTAGCCAAGCACGTGGGTTCTGTCTGGACATTTCCTTTTTGGGGTTGCCTCTGCTAGCTAAGTCCCATTGGTTCCTAGAGTCTGCCTTTTGCTAACCCAGGACTAGTTTTGGAGGTATGCCACCTATGGGGGTACACAGGGCTCTGAGTTCACATGGGCCCTGTGTTTTGTTCAGGGCTCAGCTATCCTCTTGAAATTCTAAGTAATTTTTTAATTAGGGACAAAATTTCTCATTTTGTGTTTGGTCCTGACCGTTATTTAGCTGTCCTGTCCTGGCCCTCTCATCTTGACTCTTCCATGAGTAAATGTGCATATGGAAAGTCTAGACACTGCTATTTTGTTGTTTGTAGTGCTGGGATTGAACTCAGGACATCAGGCTTGCCACTTGAATAATGCTTTCAGCACCTTTCGACATTGGTTTGTGTGAGGGGTGTGTGTGTGTGTGTGTTGGTGCTGGGTCTTGAACTCAGGACCTGGGCACTGTCCTTAAGCTTCTTTTGCTCAAGGCTAGTGTTCTTCCACTTGAGTCATAGCTCCACTTCTGGCTTTTGTGGTAGTTTAGTGGAGATAAGAGTCTCACATAGTTTCCTGACTGGGCTGGCTTTGAACCTTGATCCTCAGATCTCAGCCTCCTGAGTAGCTAGGATTATAGGTGTGGGCTACTCGTGCCTGGCTTACATTGGTTATTTTCCAGTAAAGATTTGGCTTTATACCTAAACATGCCTGAGCTGTGCCCCTCCTCTTTGTGCTTTCCAGTGTTGCTGAGGATGACAGGCGTGTATACCACTGTGCCCATTTATTGTGTGTCTGCTCTAGCATGGGTAGTATACTCACTACTGGGCCCAGCCATTGGCTATTATGGAGTCTCTCAAACTTCTCATTGCCTAGCTGGTCACTCTCTAATCTATACCTCCTAAATTGCTAGGATTGTAGGCTTGTCCCACCCAAGTTAGAAGCTCTAAAACATTAGCAGATTGTATAATCAGAAAATGAAGGTGCTAATGGAGTCTGGAGGTAGGTGTAGGGCTAGTCCTTTCTTTGTGGTCCTTGCCTTCTGCGCCGCCCCTCCCCCCCTACTTTCCTACCTCTTTGTTGTTGCTCTTGGCCATACCACTTGAGGTTCAATGTTATTTCCCCTTGAAGGCTCACCAGAGTCTTCCCTTAAATGAGAGAGGACTTTCCCTCAGAATGATGCTTGGGAATGACTATTTTACAAAGGTGGCCTAGCCTGGACTAGTTAGGTGTCCCAAACACAGCAGGAGAGAGTTGTTCTTTCCTGTGTGGTGGCCAGGCAGGTGAGCGGTAGGTGACCTCTGCCCATAGTGGAAGCAGATACAGCAGAATCAGCAGAATCAGAATACAGTGGCTTGAGTGAGATGTGAGTTATATACTATTTGGCCATGGAGTATAGTTGTATGGCTTTGGACTTGTTAATGTCTAAGTTTCCCTAGGCTTTTTATTTATTTTTTAAGTAATGCCAAAGCCTCATGTAGAGTATCATTAAATTAGAGCAGCTACTATAATAAACAAGCTCTGAAATTGTATAAAAGTTCAAAAATAATAGATATTCTCTTCTTTGTCAGAAACAGTTTAGGGTGGGTTAGCAGGGTGGCTGTCTTTCATGGACCCAGGCTGATGGTCTCTTCAGTAAGCACCTCTCAAGATCACTCATGATTTCTTTTTTAGTATTTTTTTTTTTTTTTGCCAGTCATGGGGCCTGAGCTCTGGGCCTGGGTGCTGTCCCTCAGCTCTTCACTTGAGCCACAGCACCACTTCTGGCTTTTTCTGCTTATGTGGTGCTGAGGAATCGAACCCAGGGCCTCATGCATGCAAGGCAAGCACTCTACCACTGAGCCACCTTCCCAGTCCTAGTATTTTTAATTTAATGACTTTTTTGTTTGTTTATGTGGTACTGAGGAATTGAGCCTAGGGCCTCGTGCATACTAGGCAAGCACTCTGCCATGAAGCCACCAATCTCAGCCCCCAAATTATGATTTCTTAGCCAGGTGTGAAAAGGTATGGAAGAAGCCCTCAGGGGCCAGATCTAGAAGCAGCATCTACCCCTTTTACTTATCCATTGAGTAAGTCTTAGTTGAATGATTACTTCTAACTGCAAGGGAGCCTGAGAAATATAGTCCAGTGTTGTAACCACCTTTTGTTTATGTATAAAGAGGTATTGACTGTGTCCACGTGTCCAGAGTTTTAAAGTTAAAAGAAGGCAATGAATATCAAGGGTGAACATGGCACAGGACATACAGTAAATCCTTCATACAAGATAGCTTTTTATTTGGTAGTGCGTGGTCCCAAGATTTTGCCCTGCTCTGTCCTTTTACTTGCTATTTGGATGAAGATGTCTCTGGCCTGCTGATGAGATTCATTGATGACACAGAGCTTTGAGGCGAGCAAAGCTGTTGGATGATAGGACGGATTCAAAATTTGTTTGCACCTGGATTGTTGAGCTGAAATGCAGCAGATGAGATTTGACAGGAATGTACGTAAAGTTGTGCATGTGGGTCAGGTATGTCAGCCACTTAAGTACAGAATTGAGATGACCTTCCAGTGGCAATTTCTTCCTTTTACTTCTTTATTCATGCAGCAATTAGTTACCAGGCACCCACTCTACACCAGGAACTGTGCCAGATGCTGGTGATCAGAGATGAGTCTGGTAGACATTCCTTGTCTGCCTGGGGCTAGAGTTCCAGAAGGTTGCACAATCTAACAAATAGGAGCATGAGGTGTTTGCAGTGTGGGGGTTGCAAGAAGCAGACCCCCAATTCCCAAGTGGAGGGATTGGAGGAGAGTTTACCATTGTAATCTGAGCGTGAGTAGAGATGTGTATGTGTGTGTGTGTGTGTGTGTGTGTGTGTGTGTGTGTGTGTGTGTATACACATATGGAAAGTTCTAGGCAGAGAACATGGTGTTTGAAGGATAGAGAGAGCCAGACGCTGGTCTTCATACCTATAATCCTAACTATTCAGGAGGCTGAGATCTGAGGATTGTGGTTCAAAGCCAGCCTGGGCAGGAAAGTCTGTGAGACTCTTATCTCCAATTAACCGCCAGAAAACCGGAAATAGAGCTGTGGCTCAAAGTAGTAGAGTTTAGCTTTGAGTGAAAGAGTTCAGGGACAGTGCTCCAGCCCTGAGTTTAAGCCCCATGACCAATAAAAAACAGCAACAGCAACAACAACAACAGCAACAACAACAGAGGACAAAACACATATTGGACCCCAGAGGGATTCTGAATGGTTTAAAGAGAAGTAAACCAGGTAGGGAGGGAGCTGCTGCTGGAGGGAAAATGAGCAGCTCCCTGGGAGCAGCTCCTCTGCATTAGCTCAATTAATCCTCACAATGACCCACCGAGGAGGAACACTTAGCATCCCCATTTCTTGAGTGAGAGGATTGAGGCCCAGAGATTAGGTAATTGCACAAGATCTCTCTGCTGGGAAAGAGATGCTGGGATTGGAGTTTGTATTTTACTAAAGAGAGCCACTATCCAAATCCCTGCCTTGGTTACACTAGAGAGTTTGGGTTTTAGCCTCAGGACGATGAATTTATTTAGGGTTTAATACAAAGGCCCGGTTTACATTATAAAAAGTTAGAGAATCTTAAATGGCACAAGCTTTGTATAAACCAACTGAAAATCTTGAATTGCTAAGGAGGCAGCAGAGGGTTTGGCAGTTAAATGTAGGTTGGCCCAGGGGTGTCTCCCAGACGGAGCCCCCCATGGGCACACAGAGCTGCCTCTGGTCCTCTGAAAGGCTGCCAGATTCTCTCCTCCTATCTTGACTGAATGAGAGTCAAAGGCTACAAGTTACAAGGAGGGAGATTTGGGCTGATGTTAAGATTAGAGCCTCTCCACCCTGGCTCAGGGCGCCTCTAAGAAGCTCTTCCGAGGTTTTATCTATGAGATTTAGCATTTCTGATTTCACTTGGGCATGCGGCCTGGTAGATTGCTTTCAAGTTTGATCTGACTAGTGGCTTGATTTCTTTCCAGCTGCCCAATTTCAGGGGGCTGGGCTGGGGCCAGAGGGGCTGAGAGGGTCTCTCTGTGGCTGCAGTGACTTGGAGAAGTCAGTGGAGAAGATCCAGAGGGACATATCTCACAACCATCGGCTGGTGCCCGGCCCTGAGCTGGAGGAGAAGGCACTGGTGCTGAAGCAGCTCGGAGAAACACTGACAGAGCTTAAGGGTGAGCTTGTGTTGGTGACAGTGGCCTCAACCAGTGTGAAAGGCCCTGCTATGATTCTAGCAACACCCCCTGCTCCCCAGTCCTTCCTGCTTGCTCCCCTCCCTCCCTCCCTCCCTCCCTTCCTCCCTCATTCTTAGCTTATTACCTCCTGTCCCCTCAGCTCACTTCCCAGGCTTGCAGAGCAAGATGCGGGTAGTGCTGCGTGTAGAGGTGGAGGCGGTGAAATTCCTGAAGGAGGAGCCACAGCGCCTGGACGGGCTCCTCAAGCGCTGCCGTGGGGTCACAGACACACTAGCCCAGATCCGCAGGTCATTTCCTCCCTGACTTATGATTTCCTGTACCTGTGTGTGTGTGTGTGTGTGTGTGTGTGTGTGTGTTCACACACAGGGTCAGATCCTTTATCCTGTGACTCCTGAATGCTGTAGGTGTGGCTTGCCCTCATGCTCCTCTCCAGGCCTACCCATGTCTCTCCTGCAAGATCCCTCAGCCCTCCTCACACCCCAACTTCCTCCAAGGGGCCACCACCCCTCACCTCAGCCTCACAGCTGTTCCAAACTCTCCCAACCACAGGCAAGTGGACGAGGGTGTGTGGCCACCCCCCAACAACCTCCTCACTCAGTCCCCCAAGAAGGTGACTGCGGAGACAGACTTCAACAAGGGCTTGGACTTTGAAATGCCACCCCCTAGTCCCCCACTGAACCTCCATGAGCTGACTGGACCAGTTGAAGGAGCCCCTCTCACCCCTAAGAGCAGCAACCCCAGCAAAGGCCTGGACACTCCTGGCAAGAGAAGCATGGACAAGGCTGTGTCTGTTGAGGTGCTGGGGCTGGGGCTGGGGCTGGGGTGTGATCTGGGTTCTCAAGTTGTTGCCATCACTCTAGAGTGACAATTGCCAAAACGTCATTTTTTTTTTTTTTTTTTGCGGGGGAAGGGGGAGGAAGATCAGTTCTTTAATGAAAGTCTAAGAAGCATAATGAGGAGGGTAATCTTTCTAGACAGAATGCTTTAGTATTCAAAGCAGTATGGTGTTAGCTTATGCTAACACAGAAAATGCAGGCACCTGTGAGCAGTTCACCCTTAAGCTCTGTGCTCATACCTGTAATCCAAGCTACTTAGAAGGGTGAGATGGTTGGGATTCCAGTTCAAGACAACCTGGGAAGGGGAAAAAAAAGTTTGTGAGATTTTTTTTTTTTTTTGTCAGTCATGGGGCTTGAACTCAGGACCTGGGTGTTGTCCCTGAGCTTTTTCACACAAGGCTAGTGCTCTACCACTTTGAGCCACCGCTCCACTTCCAGTTCTCTGGTGGTTAATTGAAAATAGGAATCTCATGGACTATTTTTTTTTGGGGGGGGGTCCGGTTGTGGGGCCTGAACTCGGCCTGGGCGCTGTCCCTCAGCTCTTCAGCTCAAGGCTAGCACTCTACCACTTGAGCAACAACGCCACTTCCGGCTTTTTTCTTTTTTGCTTATGTGGTGCTGAGGAATGGAACCCAGGGCCTCAGGCATGCAAGGCAAGCACTCTACCACTGAGCCACCTTCCCAGCCCTCTCATTAACTTTTTTTCCCAGGCTGGCTTTCAACTGTACTCTTCAGGTCTCCACCTTCTGAAAAGCTAGGATTACAGGCATGAGCTACCAGCACCTGGTGTGAGACGTTTTTTGTTTTTTTAATAATTTTTTGGCCAGTCTTGAGGCTTGAACTTAGGGTCTAGGCACTGTTCCTGAGCTGCTTTTGCTCAAGGCTAGCACTCTACCACTTGAGTCACAGCCCCTCTTCTAGCCTTTTCTATTTATGTCATACTGAGGAATCAAATCTAGGCCTTCATGCATGCTAGGCAAACACTCTTACCACTAAGCCACATTCCTAGCCCTGAGATTTCTTCTTAATGAAGAGCTGGACCCAGTGGCCCATGCCTGTTATCCTAGCTACTAGGAAACCTGCATAGGGGGATTGTACTTAGGCACTGACAGGAAGTGAGTCTCTCTGAAAAATATTCAGAAAAAAAAATCAAACCTAGAGTTGTGACTCAGTGGTAAGCGTGCCTGCTTAGCAAGTATGAGGCCATGAGTTCAAACTCTAGTAGTGCCAAAAAGAAAAAAAAAATCCCAAAGTAAATAGGATATATGATCAATGAAACAGAAACAGAATAGAATGTCCAGAAACAGGAGTAATAGGCAAGGCAGCCCTGACCCTTGGGGCTAGTGTATAATATCCACGTAGAAAGGCCCAAGGTCTGCTGGGGCTGTATCACAGTGAGGGTCCCTGTCCATCCCTTCACATGTAGCTGGGGGAAGTGTCTGAGCCCTGGAGCTCAGGAGGAGCACTGTCAGGACAGGAATCCTGACCCTCAGTCCCTCCTGTCAAGGCTGCTGAGCGAGACTGGGAGGAGAAGAGGGCAGCTTTGACCCAGTACAGCGCCAAGGACATCAATCGGCTGCTGGAGGAGACGCAGGCTGAGCTGCTCAAGGCCATCCCTGACTTGGACTGTGCCAGCAAGGCCCATCCGGGCCCCACCCCCACTCCAGACCACAAACCCCCCAAGGTGCCCCACGGCCAGAAGGCAGCCCCTCGAACGGAGCCCAGTGGAAGGAGGGGCTCAGGTAAAGCAGAAGGGCTAGTGAGGAGCCCAGAGTTGGGGAGCCCCATCCTCAGAGTTCTTGGTTGATGGAGAGGTCCTGGGCTGTGAGCCCCATGATAGCCAGGCTGCAAGAATAGAGGGTACGGGCCATCAGTAGCCAACCCTCAGCTACTGAAGAGAGATCAGGACTCAAAAGGGGAGAGTAAGCTAGACTCCACTGAGACTCTTCACGCTGCCTTGAGGGCCATGGAGGGAGGACAAATACATTCAGGCTGGCACCAGGTTGCACTGAGAAAGCGTGCCATGCCTGACCTGTGCTGACATCGGTTCTTGGCTCCTAAGCCTGAAGAACTGTGGAGCAGCAGAATCTGAGCAGACAGAGAAGTCATAGTTCATTCACTGATTCCAGCAACACATCTTATTAAAATATCGACTGTGTGCAAAATGCTGGGGAGAAAGAAGTCAGAGCCTGCTTTCAAGGAGCTTAGGATTTAGCGGGCATAATGTTCCTGTATGGCTCTATGATGAGAACTGTCCAAATGTCTTCTTCTAATGTCACAACAGCCCCGGGGGTGGGGGGTAGTCAGTCACTCACAATTCCCATTGTACAATCAGGACATTACCACTCCAAATGGCTGAGTAGTCTCCCCACCCCTTGCTATACCTAGTGTGTAATTCAGAATGAACCCAGGGGCCAAATGTGGTCAGTGAAGTGACCCATGCCTGTACCATCCTCAAGGAAGCCCTGGGTGGCCGGGGGTGGGGGTTGTAAAAGAGTAAACATTCCCCAGCCAGCCAGGGAGCGGGCACAGCCCTGTAGGGGCCCCTGAGATTCATGTTTACCTGACCACGGTCCACCCTGGCAGTGACAAGCAGAGCAGAGACTAGGGGTTGGCAGGGACAAAGAGAAGGCCCTGGCCTAGGAAGCCTGGTCTACTTTGGGGTGATGGGGAGCCACTGCAGGCTCAAAGACAGGGGAATGTTACAATTCAAGTGACCTTTCAGCAGATTGCCCTGGAGACAAGGCTGGGGAGGGAAGGTAGGCTGAGGGGGACACTGGTAGGTAGGGCCAGGCCCCAGCTCTGAGCCTAGCAGGGGCCAGGGGGGCAGTGGCAAGAAGATGGATTGGAGCTGTGCTTCCCAAAGCTGACCGAGTGTATGACTCGCTGGGGAGCTGTTGAAGTGCTGGAGCCTGAGCGGCAGTTTAGCCATCTCTCAGATGGTGTGGAGAAGCAAGTGGAGAAGGCAAGCCCCATGTTCTTTCCCTTGAACCTTCCTCTTTCCTCTCAGTCCTCCCTGGAGGAGGGAACAAGGTTTATCAAATCTTTGCAGTCAGATGCAGTGCTGAAACTTCAGGAGTCGGGGTGTGTGTGGGGGGAACCTCTGACCCAGCCTCTTGGCTGCCTGCAGATGAACTGACGGTGCCCCGATACCGCACAGAGAAGCCCTCCAAATCACCCCCTCCTCCCCCTCCCCGCCGGAGCTTTCCTTCCTCCCACGGCCTGACTACCACGCGCACGGGAGAGGTGGTGGTCACCAGCAAGAAAGACTCAGCCTTCATCAAGGTGCCACTCCAACCCGGAGGGGATCCTGGGGGTTTGAGGGAGGGAGAAGCCTGCAATGACCTCCAGAAACCCTCGGGGAGTGGGAGGGGTCCTTTCTCAGAAACAGTGGGAGAGAAAGAGGTAGAGTCCAGTAGATCCCAAGATCTTGGTAGATCCCAAAAATGTGGATTTGCATCCATACTCTCCATGCCCCGTGCCTGGTGTGGGTATTTTAGTGAAGATGGAGGAAGTAGCAGGTGCTGAGCTGGGGTAGTGGGAGAGAGCCTGGGGGCTTGGAGGTAAGCTGATACTTGAGCCTGCTCTTGATGGAGCTCCTGGATCTTGCAGAAAGCTGAGTCTGAGGAGCTGGAGGTGCAGAAACCCCAGGTGAAGCTACGCCGGGCCGTGTCTGAGGTGGCCCGCCCTGCATCCACACCACCCATCATGGCTTCTGCCATCAAGGATGAGGATGATGAGGACCGCATCATCGCAGAGCTGGAGGTGGGTTAGGGGTGTGCCTGGCCCCCAGGCCTCAGCCAGGCCCAGTTCCCTGCCAGATTGGCTTGAGGCAGTGGGACTGGGGCAGACAGTGAGTGCTAAGCCTAGGATCCAACCTTGCCCACATTCCTTCACTGTAAAATCACTCCTGTAATCTTAGCAACTCAGGGGGCTGAGATCTGAGGACCACAGTTCAAAGCCAGCCCAGGCAAAGAAAGTCTGTTGAGACTCTTATCTCCAGTCAATCACCAAAAAGCTAGAAGTGGGGCCGTGGCTCAATTGGTAGAGCACTAACTTTGAACAAAGAAGCTCAGGGACATCTCCCTCCCAAGCCCCAGGACCAACACACACATACAAAAAAGAGAAAAATGTCAAAAGTCTCTCTTTTGAGATGGTACACACCTGTAATTCTAGCACTTGGGAGACTCTTCCTGGGCCCCTCTTTGGAGGTTTTAGTTTTTTATCGTAGTCTTTGAGATCCACGTCAGCACCCCCAAGACCCACTGTACTGTGGAAGCTCCATGCCTGCATATTCTGAGATTATATGATCGAGGACAGCTAGTGTAAGGTGAGACCCTGACCTGAGTATTCTGAGCATAGAATTCTGAGGTCTCCATTGTCCAAGGGCCCTGTGGCTCTCCAGTTCTGTGAGCCACTGCACATTCTTAGTCCTCCAGCCTCCCAACCCCTCTCCTCCCATGCCTGGAGTCCTGAAGTATCAGGGACTTCTGAAAGAGGAGAGAAAATGGAGGGCAGAGCCTGCCAGCTGCTATGGTGATGGGCTAAGGGGTGAGGCTGGGGGCCCATGCCATCCCAGCCTACCCTCCCCATGGGTGTCTGGGCCAACAACCAGCACCCTCATCCTCCCTGGAACCCCCTCCTCCAAACCTGCCCCACCTTCTGCTCCCCAGGTGTTTGAGAGAAGCTCAGTGTCCTCCCTCCCCCCTACGCCCCGCCGTCAGCCGATCCCCATCTTGCTGTCCCCTCAGGATCTGGGGGTCCCCGGGGGCTCAGCCCCAGGCCCCACACGGAAGGTAACGGGGCTGCCCCTCACCTCTCACAGCTTCCTCTCTGCCTGTGCCTCCACAGCTTCCTCTCTGCACCTCTCACGCTAACCTGCTAACACGCCCTCACGCCAAGCCCTCCCACCACTGCCCCTGCTTCCCACCCAAGGGCCACACACAGCTCAGCCTTCCTGTGACCTCATAGGTGGGTCTTCCCCAGAGATTCCAGTGGCCTGGGTATGTGGTGATCCTTTGAGTCCTTGTTCTTTTACAGGCGTGGTTCCCAGTCTGGTTTGTAGTGGTCTGAGTGTTTTGTTTGCAGCATGGGGTTAGATTCTGGCCCAACGCCTGAATATTGCTTTGGGTCATGAGTGTACTTTGAATCTGGCTTAAAAGTTGATGGGGTCCAACTCAAAATACTTTGGCAGGGCGCTGGTGACTCATACCTATAATCCTAGATACTCAGGAGGCTGAGATTTGAGGATCAAGGTTTGAAGCCAGCCTGGTCAAAAAAGTGTGTGAGACTCTTATCTCCCATTAACCACCAAAAAACTTCGAGCTGTGGCTCAAAGGATAGAGTGCTAGCCTTGTGCAAAAGAGCTCGGGGACAGTGCTCAAGCCTTGAGTTCCAGCCCCAGGACTGGCTTAGTTTCCTCCCTCATGCCCTGCTCTGCTGCTTGTGCCAGGGGAGGTGGTCTGCTTTTCCCACTGGAATCTATGCCTTGCACTGTGGGAGCAAGACAGCTCCCCTTCAATCTTCCCCTGTCCCATGTTCCCTTTGATTGGGAAGTTCTTCCTTTTCTCTAACTTCAGTCCTTTGCTATTGTTCCGCTCCATTTATTTTCTCTTGGGAATTTGGGGGTGGATGTGCTGTTTGCACCCTATGGGACTGTGACTGGGGAGGGGATGGTAGGGGACTGGGACTATTCTCTGCAGGTTGGGGCAGGGGAGCTGAGAAAGGAGCCCTGAGACAGGACAGTGTCCTGGTCACATACTTCTTCACCTGCCTCTGTGGTTCTTTCTGGTGCTCAGTGGATTCATGATGGTACCCACCTGAATTCTGGCCTCGCTTGAGGCCTTGGTGGTGCTTTGGTCTCCTGGGAGACAGACGGAAATCAGACCCTGGGCAGTGCTGTGTGCCAGGCTGGGGATGGCACAGAGCTGTCTAGAGAGCCATCAGGCTGACTGATATGGGAGACTTGTCCGCGGAGGCTGTGCGCTCAGTACCAGCTCTGCTGCTGTCCAGTTCTGGGGACCTGTCCTGAAAGGGTCTGGTGAGCAAGGCCCTTTCCCTAATCTTTTGGGCCTGGCTGTCCCTCTGCATCCTGAGTGTCATCCGGCAGTGGAGCCAGGCAAGTGGGGACTTCCCTGCCTGCCTGCAGCCCCCCACTTTCAGGTAAGCAGGTACAGGGCTAGGGGAGGGGTGGCCTCGGAAGGGGTGGTTGAGGTCTGTGTTTCCCCAAGTATCCCTGCATAGCTCCATTTAGTGGAAAGAGCACTGGACTTGGAGTCAGGCTGTCTGGGTTCAAATCCTGGCTCTGCCACTAACTGAGGGTCTGTGACGGTGGGTGACACACCCAGCGTCCCTCCCCTGTGAGGTGGGGACAGTGAGGGGCAGTCCTTTCATGGTGGCTATAAGCATCAAAGATGAGGATATACATGACAGGAGCTGGCATATGCTTGGAACTAGGCCACGATTCGCTCAGATTGGGAGTTCCATGGGGTCCTCTGTGGACCCCAGTCAGGGTCAGAGTGGGGATGCTCCCACAGGAGCAGGTGCCCACGGGTGTACAGAAGAGGACCAGCCAAGGCTGAGCCCCACCCTTGACTGTGAAGTCCCCTTAGGAAGCAGTTATAATGGCAGAGGGATCAGAAGCCTCTGGCTGGAGATCGGGATGGTGGCTTCACCCTGCCAGGCCGGGGCTGGCATCTGCTCTCCACCCTGGGAAAGTCTGGATCAGTCCATTCAATTCAGCAAATAAGCCTGATCACCACATGCCGGGCACTATGCTCTGCACATTCTCACATGAACTCACTAAATTCACCCCCAGCCCTGTACTACTGTAGATGGGTGGACTTATGGGGTTAACCCCGGGACTTTCCCCCATGTTCTATCTGGGTGATGAGAAATGAATATATAATATATATTATATATACCTTACTATATATAATATAGTTACCCATATTATATATAATATATATAATATACACATACATACATATATGCATACATACACATATATATGTGTATATGTATACGTATATATACCTGAGCTTCCAGGTAAACTGGTATTTACCTGGAAGCAGGCTGTGCCTCCAGTGGCCTGGGTAACTGGTTACCCTTCTCCTGCTTAGTGTCCCCCATCTGGTACAGGAAGGGTCTAGGGCTTTGGCTTGTTGGATCACATTCTTCCTCACTTTTCTTCTCCCTCCAGGCTGCCCCGGGTCCCAGGGCATTCTGTGTCCCACAGATCATCTTGACAGAATGTCCCCCCAGTTCTCCTTCCCCACCAGAAGCCAGCCTTGAGAAACCAGGTCCTAGGATGGCTCCCATGCCGAGACCACGGACCCTGGCTAGCAGTAGGAGGGCCTGGAATGGACCACAGGCCCTGCCGGGGTGGGCAGCTGAGGCTCCCTGGCCTAGGAACAGCCTGATGCCCATGGAGGAAAGAGAAGCTCTGAAGAACTGGGCCACAGGAAGTCAAAGCTCAGAAGATTTAGGAGCCAAAGTCCCCTGCCATCTGGGACCCACTCTGGAGGAGACTCAGGTGCTTTCCATTACTGAGAAGCATTCAGAAGAGACCCCCAAGGACTCTGGACGAGCTGGCCAAATCTGCACTGGAGAGCAGCCTGCAGCTGGCCTCACCCTGCAACGGATGGACAGTCTAGAGGAGACTCTCTGGGAGCTGGAAGCCACCCTGAATGAGATGGGCACTGTCCCCACCGTGAGGCACCCTGGAAGCACCCCGCCCCTGCCCCCCAGACCCCAGGTGGATGCCTCCCCTTGGTCTTGTGCTGTCTTCCTGTTCCAGTCTCTGGGCCTTCAGAGTGGAGGGAGTGGGAGCTGCTGGGGTCCCACACCAGCCCCCCTCCCGCCCTTCTCTCCGTCCACCACCTCCTGGGAGCCCACTGCCAGGCAGGAGGATGTGGTTGAGCCTGGGGAGGCTGGGAAGCTAGCCAGCCCAGGACTTGGCCCTCTCAGCCTCGGCAAGAACCTGGAAGGACCTCTCCCTCTCTACTCTGTATCTGTAAACCAACGAATAAAGAGCTACCCCCCTCGTCCATTTCATGCTCCCCACTCCTGTCTCCGATTCTCTCTGTCTCTGTCATTTCTGTGCTTGCACTTTTGGGTCCCCAGAGCACCTCTGGGCAGGCGTGGTACCTGCGGGAGGGGGGGGGCGGTGCCACGGGAGCCAGGCTTGCCCATCTTTGGAATGACTTTACCTTCCCCTCCATTAAAGGGCCTAAGGTTTTGCTGATCCTGCTCTGTTCTTAGAGAATCCCCCTGCCCTCCTCCACCAAAAAGAGAAAAGCAAAAGCTGAGGATGTAGCTCAGAAGTAGCAGGTACAAGGTCCTAGGTTCAATCCTCAGTACAGAGAGAGAGAAAGGGAGGGAGAGAGAGAGCCTCTCTGCCTAACCTGGTGCTTCTGGAGCCATTACGGTGTGTCCCTTGCCAAGAACGGACACGGTGCTGGGGACCATCACCTCCAGAACGGACACGGTGCTGGGGACCATCACCTCCCCAGAAAGGCACCAGCTGCCTCTAGGCCACTCAAGGAAGCCACAAAAGAGGCCCTGGAGGTCAGAGTGGGGCTGAGTGTGCGGTGGAGCCCCAGGGAAGGGTCTCAGGGAGGATAGCCCAGCCTCTGCTGAAGGCTCCACATGAGACTCTCCAACCACAACTATTTTTCTTTTCACAGAGTGGCAGCGGCAGCGTGCCACCCATGAAAGTGGTGACTCCCGGGGCCTCTCGGCTGAAGACGACCCAGGGCCAAGTGGGCAGTCCTGACAAAGGCAAGCACAGCAAACAGAGGGCTGAGTACATGAGGATCCAGGCCCAGCAGCAGGTGAGAGCAGGGGTGTGTGTGGGGGGGGGGGGTACATGTGTGCTCCATCCATGTATGCTGAGCCGCTGCTGCAAGTCACTATTCCTGTCCCTGCCAGGCAGAACTGGCTCCCATCTCCCTCCAGTCCTAGCACCTTGCATCTGGCTAACTAACCCTAGGAACCCTCTGCTTGGGGACCAAGTGCCATGGGTGACACATCACTTGCTCCTGGGGGAGGGAGGACGATTAGATCCTTGACACCAGCAGCCACCTCCCTGCTAAGGCCAACCTGTGCTAGGGGCCACACCCTTCTGCCCACCTTACTTGTCTCCTCCCTCCTCCCCATGCTCTGGTTCTCACTTGATCTTTGGCTCCACTATCTTCCCAGCCTTCCCCAGCTGAGAAAGCAGCGGCTTTGCTTCTGGTTCACTGCTAGGGTGGCGCTTAGGGGAGGTCATTTGGCCCCCAGATGAGAACAGGTAGAAAGGGGACTGCAGGGGGCGCAACCACGCAGTGCCCTCACCCATGTGTGTTTGTGGCCCATAGTCTGCAATGTGGTTGAAAGATCTGCCAGGCATTGGGTTAGCAGCCCCAGGATGTCAGGCCCATTCTGATGTCAAGGTAGGCCTTGCTTTGTCTAGGTGCTCTGACTTCCAGAAGGTTCTAGGCACAGAGGCAGGAAGTTAGAGTTGCATGAGGTGAGTGACCTCCTTTATAGATGAGGGGACAGCTCAGACCAAGAAAGGGACTTGCTAAAAGGGCACATAAGATGGCATCAGCCAGGAGTGGCATCCAGATAGCTCAAAGCCATGGCCACATAGGTGAATGGTCAGCCTGCCTGTCTTCTAGCCATCCTTCCTCCCAGCTGCTCCTTACCAGCCTCCACCTTCCTCTTGATGGCTCCCAGTGCTCTGAGAGGCCCATCTCTAGCTATTTTTCCTGCTGCTATTCTGGATAAGTGTCCTATCCAGGCTGGTCCTTCCTCTGTATCCGTAAGAACAGCTGAACATTCTAGGCTGTTCACTTGTGTCCAGCACATATGCTGTTTCCGTTCTCACTTACTGTGCCCATTGGATAGGCGGGGAGATGGAGGCTGGGGAGCAGGACACAGATCAGGACCATCTCACAGGCCTCCCCCCGTACACACATGCGCTGCCTGTAGTTCTGCCCCGCTGTGATGCAGCCTGTCTCCTCCGTGCCCCAGAGCCTCACCTCTCTACCTGTCGCCTAGTGTCCTGTTTTGCCCTGTGGATCAGGTACATACCTCTAGGCCTGATCTTCCCCAAGTTCCTCAGCCCCTTCTGGCTGAAGAAGAGTATGGTGAGGTCTCCAGTGGCCAAACAGGTTCTTTTCCTGCTTCTTCCTCCACCTGTGCGGTGGGGTCTGTGTATATACCCATACCCCCCACCCCCGTGGCTGGGCCACCCTTCCTGCCCTGGTGTCCTCCCCACCCCCACCGCCCCTCAGGCCAGCCCTTCTACTCCTTTCTGGACATTTCTCTGCCACCCACTCCTTCATTTCTCCATTCTCAAATGCCTTGGCCCTGTCTCCTCTCACCACACCTATCTTTTTCTGGGACTCAGGCTTCCCTCTGACTCTGCTCTGCCTGCCCAAGTCTCTGTGCTGGGCTCCAGTCCCTCCCCGCCTCGGCTAAGTCTTAAGGGTCCTTGGGTATCTAGGCCTGGTGCCCCTCCCAGCCAGTGACCGCCTTCTTTGCTGGCCCCACCACTGGGGTCCTTCCAGACCCTCATGCGTAAGGAGGCACAGCGGTCCCTCTGCACCCTGCCTCGGTCACTTTCCCTATGCTAGACATTGAAATTTCTTGTTTCTGACGAAGAAATACACATCTCCTCCTCCTCCTCCTCCTCCTCCTCTTCTTCTTCCTCTTCTTCCTCTTCCTCTTCCTCTTCTTCTTCTTTCTTTCTCCTCCTCCTCCTGCTCCTGCTCCTCTTCCTCCTCCTCCTCCTTCTCCTTCTCTTCTTCCTCCTTCTTCTTCTTCCGCCAGTCTTGGGGCTTGAACTCAGGGCCTGGGCACTGTACCTAAGCCTCTTTTGCTGAAGTCTAGAACTCTACCACTTGAACTGCAGTGCTACTTCCAGCTTTTTCTGTTTATGTCATGCTGAGGATTCGAACCCAGGGCCTCATGCATGCGAGGCAAGCACTGTACTGCTGAGCCACCTTCCCAGCCCATTTCTTTCTTTTTTTTTTTTTGGGTCCAGTCGTGAGGCTTGAACTCTGGGCCTGGACGCTGTCCCTCAGCTCTTCAGCTCAAGGCTAGCGCTCTACC